CCAATATGTCCTATGTATATCAAATTTTCCAAGCCGTCTTTCCTCATTATGTGGTCTAGAAATTTCAACTGTTTTTTTTTCTAATAATATATATAAGTGTCCTTTTTGTTTCCATTTTCTCGAAAACTTCGTCGTTGCTCACATATTTGGTCTATGGTATTCTCAGCATCCTTCTGTAGAACCCCATTCTCAGCATGATTCTGCAGAATCAAATTTATGTTGCGTCAAGTCACTTCTTCATCTGCGCGGAAATTGTCGAGCATTCACTGCCATATAGAAGGACTGACATTATGTAACAGTTCAGTATTCTTCTCTTTGTTGCTTTAAGTCTCTTCTTCATCTGAGAGGAGATTGCGTAGCATTCACTGCCATATAGAAGGACTGATATTACCTAACAGTTCAGTATTCTTTTCTTTATTTCTGTTGCTGCAAGTCTCTTTCATCTGAGAGGAGATTGCCAGGTATGCCATATAGGAGGTTTGCTATTACATAACAGTTCAGTGCTCTTTTCTTTGTATCGATGTTTTTTGTTTGTTTGTTTCTTTCTTAATATTTTGCTTATCTTTTGAAAGGCATATTTCGCTATCCCAATGGGCCTTCGGATTTCATTGTCGAACTATTCCAGAAATACTATATATTTAAATTGTTGTATTTGTTTGACAGTCGCAAAGGTTTTGTGATGATGCATTGTGATGAAAATAAAATTTTGGATTAGTATTCCTTTTTTATCATAATTTTTTAGCGAAACCTCGTAACAAGACCTTGGAAAAGGTTCAGTCGGAAGTTAATAGTGAAATTGCTCTGTGGTAATAGTGAGAACAACCGTTTCTATACAGGAATATTTCAGCTTTAATTAACCGAAAAGTTAGCATTAATGTCGTTTGCTAATTTCTGTTTTTCAGGAAAATATCTTTCTCAATTCCACTGACCATTACTGTTATTTCTAATATTGATACGGGGAGGGGGTTCTTCAGGTGATTGGAATTTCGAACCCAACCCTTTATTTCATCCACCGGGGTAGATTGTTCTAGTTCCACGTGCCATGCCTTTTCCGGATGTCTCAGTTATTTCCCTTCAGCTCAATTCTCCAAGTTTTTTGGTTCACCACTGTGGCCTGGTATTGAACTCACAACTCTAACCAACGCCTTTAGACACATGGCCCAGTGGATAAAGGCGTTGGTTAGATCTAGTGACTAGAACCAAAGAGTTGTGAGTTCAATACCAGGTTACAGCAGTATAACGGCCAAAAAGTTATGAATATGGCTATGAAAAAAATTTCTTAGAATCTAAAAATATTTTTGGGGATTTAAATAAACTGCAAGAGGTTGATAAGCCGTAAAAAACAAATCAATGAATCAATGCTCACTAGAAATGCTTGATAGCGTAACCGATTTAATCACCGATAACCCGAATATGCGTTACTAGTCGCACTCATAGAGTAACAAGTTATAAGTGATGTCACACATTTTTCAGGCAGTAAAGCAACTGAGACCCAAGAAACATTATTAAGGAGTGAGAACAACAGAAGAGTAATAAAAAAAGACAGTAAATAACGCTTTGCTTCATATATTAAAACTAAAAGGTTATTTTGTTGTAACCAGTGAATATCTCTGGCCATATGTCGTCTACACGCAAAGGAAGTATGTCGACTTGGAAGTTGTTTTTTTTTTCAGTCATGCTTACCTCCCTTAGTTTTTGACACTTGAACATTTGTCCTAGGAAAACCGGTCTAAAGCAATCCAAAAAATATATTACAGACATGCGCGAAGCCTGAAGTCATTTGTACTTAATCGAACCAACTTCGTGGTTGAATTCGTTATATTTTGATTGGTTCAGGGAGCGTCTAAGTTTGGTACAGGAATATATATTTAGAATGATTTTCGAGGCAAACAATCAGACACTACCTCGTTATCCTCATAATCTTTACTTCCTACCATATCCTCTTCCATTCATATCACACAACTCATTCATAGCCCTTCTTCTTGAGTAATTATCGTGCTATGTACTGGATGAATTAAAAAAAAAAAAAGCGTTATCTTACGTCGTAGTAAACTTCGCAAATATCTTGTTCGCAGTTTAACGTGGCTTTCTCTATAGTTGAATAGACCCACTTGCGTCAAAAGCCAAAGTTTAGAATCTTTTTCTTTTCTTTTTCTTCATTTTTTTTTTTTTTTTTTGCTTCAGTCGGTCGGTCGGGTTCTCTCCCTTTGAAAGAACTCTCGCGGAAAAATATTTCTCTCATTTTTGCCCCATATACGATATGTACAATACAATGCTATACCTGCGTAATGAACCATGAAACGATTCTTTTTTTTTTTCTTGTTTTTTTTTAATTAATTCGCTCCATACAATTATTCCACTAAGACGCGAGGGGCTACAGGGAAGGAAAAGAGAATGAAAAGACTTTAAAAGAAACCTGGAACTCAGTCCCAAACTTGAAACGAGGGATAGACCTCTACTATTCCCAATCGATCACCTATCTAAGTACTGATCAGGCTTGATGTTGCTTAACGGGTTACTGGGAGTGAAAGTGAATGAAAAGACTTTAGAAAAAAACTGAGATTCAATCCTAAACAGGAAAGAAGGGATAAACCTCTACTCCTGCTCAAAAGACTCGGGAGAAGTGTGAACTGGACGATAGGGTAACCTATTTACTCCTATTAGAATTGGTTTTAAATTATAATCCCAAAGATTTCCCGGGTTTTTCTTATTGCCATATTTGTCGAAATAAGACGCACCCCACCTCCGCAAGAAAAGGATGTGTTATATTCCGTGCTAAGGGAATAAACACATAACACCAGGTGGATACTAGAAGAAAGGTTTATTGTATGCAACCAGTACAATATGAAATACGGTACAGTTATACACACAGGTCAATCTAGTAGTGAGTGCTACTAATTGGAAGGTCAGACGTGCTTGCGTCGTCACTCTCACTCGTCCTTCTTTGTCTTCGTAGACAATTGACTTTATAGGTACTTGCTACCTATAGTGTAATCATTCATGGGGGGCTGACTGGTTATTCCATTACATCAGGATGAAACATTACCCTGCATCTTATATGCGAAATTGAGGCCTCCTGTAGGATAATTTTATGCCTAAGACTCATTACTTGCGGTTTTTCGTTTCCAACTGGAGATCTTGCATTATGGGGGTCCTCTTGCATTATGGGGGTCCTCTTGCATTATGGGGGTCCACTTGCATTATGGGGGTTCTCCAAGACGTATGTCATCAGAAAGAGAATACCGTTCGAAGAATATTTGCAGTGCAAGGTTACGTATGCTTCTAAATAATCGAGGAATCCAGGATGTATACAATATCGTCCGAAATTCTCCCTTTAATTTGCACTACAGTTCAAAGATTTGAGGCCACCACTGATAATTTTTTAAAATTAGCCCCCCCAAAAGTGTTTGTTTGTACTTTAAATAAGAGAAAATTATTATAGATGGTTGCAAAAAGTGAGACATGATTTTTAATTAGAAATTTTATGACAAAAAGGAAAAAAGCATTTGATGATTAAATTTTGCTCTCGGCGAAATATCCTCCTTTAGCCTTGATTACTGCAGCACTAATTTTTGCCATTCGTTGCAAAAGTTTCTCAAAGTATAAGTTTGATAATTGATTGCATTCTTTTTTCAATGACACTAAGACCTCTTTACCATTTTTTTTTTTAATTCATCCCATGCAAATTCTGGGGTGGCTTCAAACATTTGAACTGTAGTGTAAGTGCTTGAAAAGGAAGATTATGTTAAAAAAATATTTTATGTATGAACTAAATGCTTCTTTATGCTACCTTATCTATGAGCGGTTATGCTTCTTATTTCCCTTTTATATGCTATGTCCTTTCAGGACGTGGGCGATAATGGCTCTCCACAACTTCCTGCTTTTTGTTGCTTGAAGTAACATTAGACCCTTTGTAATCTCTTTGTCCCTTTTCTGTCACCTATATGCGTCTTATTTCCCTTTTATATGATATGTACCTTCAGGGCGTGGGCGATAATGGCTCTCCACAACTTCCTGCTTTTTGTTGCTTGAAGTAACATTAGACCCTTTGTAATCTCTTTGTCCCTTTTCCTTTTTATGTCAATGGCCTATATGCGTCTTATTTCCTTTTTTATGATATGTACCTTCAGGGCGTTTTATATGGGCGATAATGGCTCTCCACAACTTCCTGCTTTTTGTTGCTTGAAGTAACATTAGACCCTTTGTAATCTCTTTGTCCCTTTTCTGTCATCTATATGCTTCTTATTCCCCTTTTATATGCTATGTCCTTTCAGGATGTGGGCGATAAGGGCTCTCCACAACTTCCTGCTTTTTGTTCCTTAAAGTAACTTGAAACCCTTTATCATCCCTCTTTGTCTGTTTTCTGCCATCTGTAAGCTTCTTATTCTACTTTCATATGCCATGTTCCTTCAGTATATGGACGATTATGGCTCTTCACAACTTCCTGTCTTTTGTATCTCGAAGTAACTTTAAACCTTTTGCAATCCCTTGTGTCATTTTCTTCTGTCCATTTAGGCAAACGAATTAAGTACGTTATTCGCTGTTTCCTCCAGTCTTTATTGTGTCTGCGGGTGTTAGATTCTCCAAGCCATCTTTCCTCATTATGTGTCCCAGAAATTTAAAATTTCTCTTTTTTATTGTAAATTCTTTCGTTTGTCGTTTCATTTTCTATTTTCCTTGAAGCTTCCTCCTTGCTCACGTGGTATTTCCAGCTCATTCTGTAGAACCACATCTCTTTCGCTTTAAGTATCTTCTTCATCCGTGAAGAGACTGACCAGCATTCACTACCACATAAGACATTCGATATTACATAGTTCAATCTTTTCCTTTTTTTTTCTAATGATATTTTCCTATCTTAATAGTTTTCTTAGTTTCTGAAAGGCATCTTTTACTATTTTTCTATGCGATTTCCAGTTTCGTCTGTTTCGTTCTTATGGTAAATATAACTTCCTTGCAGTTCGTATTTTCTTTAAAACACTTTTAGGCTCACTGCCACATCACATTGTAACCCGTACGATCATCAAAGTTAAGCAACATCGAGCCTGGTCAGTACCTAGATGGGTGACCGCTTGGAAGGACCAGGTGCTGTAAGTTTGGATGTGTGGGTGGTGTAATGTATAATGGCTCGGAATTGTTAATCGGAGTGCCAGGTTCCATACCCCGTTGGGTTCGTTATATTCACTTGCGCGCAAATACGCTTCGAAAGGTATTAATCCAACTCTAATCTCCCCAGTTATGGGTTAATTAGTAAAATTTGTATCACTAAACCATTATTATCTCAAAAAGAAATTCTTGATATCTAAAAAAAAAAATTTCTGGCTTTAACCCCATACCCGCGAATTATTTTGATAAAAACGTTTCATTTTCAGAAGCCTTTTTTTATTTGTTTTTAATATAATAACTAAGAAACTGAGGTACCTTGAAGTACCCAAGGGGTGGCTAACACCTCTACCAGACGTATGAGTTTACAGTTGAACTCGTTTCAAACTCAGAAGGGCATGAAAAGCATCAAGATCGACGTATAAACACGTCAGTAGCTGGTTTTTGAACGTTATATTTGGGACTTTCGGCAAAAACGTATATACACGTCTACACCGGAGGAAAGGGTTAAATAACCTGCAAATGGTTGATAAGGCGTAAAAAATGAATCAATCAATTTGAGACGTTTTCGTTGCTCACGTGTTCTAGCCATGTTATTATCCATATTCGTTGGTTGAAAGCGATCGCTGTCTGTTTCAAGTCTTTTCTTCATTTTGGAGGAGATTGTCCATGATTCACTGGCATGTAGGAAATTAAATATTATATGGTAATTTTACACTTCTTTTTTTTCTAAAGAAATTTTCTTATCTCTTAGTACTTTACTCAGTTTCTAAAAGAAATCTTTCGCTGTTCTGATACGCCAATGGATTTCCGTACCACATTTGCCTTACTACGCTAGTTGCGAAAAGTTGTAATGGGTAAAATTACTGCTGGTCACCAATTTGTAGAGGAGTTGCGGCTTGTTGCTCATCAGGACGAAGACTTTCAAAGTAGATGAATTTACCATTTTCAAAAGTTATAAATTTCAACACGTACAGAAATGTTGCACATATGTTTAAGAAAAATTTCTCAGAGTTAACCCGTAGAAAATATACATATTTATACATATTTGGTTGGATAGATGTGAGTTTGGGACCCTGGGTTTCACGCTTGACGATCGCTAAAGCTTGAAACCCATATTTATACATATATATTTATATAAACAACATAGCTCACAAAATAAGAAAAAGAAAAGAATGTTTTATGTATATACAGATACTTGTTAAAAATAAAAAAAAAACATTTATTTGCTTAGCCGTTGTGTGTGTGTGTGTGTGTGTGTGTGTGTGTGTGTGTGTGTGTGTGTGTGTGTGTGTGTGTCCGTCCGCGTAGTTTGAAATTTAGTAGCCGTGCGACTAAGCTTCTCCTGCCGTGTAAACTGGATAGGTTTTCTACCAACCGAAAGAGAAAGAGATAGTTTATGTCCTTACTTTTATATTCCTGAATAAAGCGACGCCTAGTGGCGTCCTAGCAGACAAGTTGACATGATCTTTTCAAAATTCACTTTCTATATTTTTATTTAATTTTGTTTCTTTCTTATTCTTACACTGCAAATTATTCACATATAATACACACATCTCCTCCCATATATTTTAAGGTTAAAAGTTAAGGATGTGTTATAGCTAACCCATGTGCAACAAAGAATTTAAATCATTAACTAAAAATCACATAATTTATTTTTTGAATTACTGACGCGTATTAACCACATTTTAATCTGCTGTCCAGATGAACGAACATAATAGCGTCATCTATGTTGGTAGCATACAGTGGTCGACAACCTTTTGGAGAAAGTGGATTATAATGTTATGCAGACTCTCGGAGGAGGGGTATGATATTAAATGTAATATAATCGATGCCTCAGGAATATCATCAATATCAAGGGGCCGGAAGTTTCTCGAACGACCAATTGAGAGACAAGACCAGACAAGCCCCAATCGAGACCGACATCAAGAAACGGGTATGGGGATGGATCGGCTATACATTCCGCAAGCCTGCTTCTAGTGTCACCAGTCAGGCCCCTGACTTGAATCCATAAGGTATACGAAAAGTGGGTCGAGCAAAACAGACTTGACGTAGAAATGTTGACGCAGATGTAAAGGCAGACGGTTCGGCATGGGCCGAGCTGAAGAGGATCGTCCGAAACCGCGTCTGTTGGAGAGGTGTTGTTGTGACCCTATGTTTCCCAAGGAATTACGAGGCATAATATATATATATATATATATATATATATATATATATATATATATATATATATATTAAATTGTCAATCCCATGCCGCTCCGTCTGGAAGACTGCCTTGGGCTGGAGGTTTAAAAAAATCGACGAAGTTAATATTATATTATCAAAACAAGGTTCTTTATTTTACAGCAGAAATAACAGAATAACAACAAATACAAAAAAAAAGGAACTTCCTTACTACAAACAAAATACAGTTAGCAATAGCAAATTAATTAATGAGACACTATTTCTACTTATTGTTTGATAACTTATCCACATCACGTGAAATATTTGTCGATGACAGGAACAAAACATCACCAAGGTCCACAATATTTACACTATTCAGATTATCGAACTGAACCCTTTATTTCGCTCACTGGGGCAGACTGTTCTAGTTCCACGTGCCATGTTTAACGGATGTCAGTTGTCAGTTTTTTTGTTTTTTGTTTTTTAAGCGTTTCACCCCAAGCAAGGTGGGAAGCCACTAGGACGCAAGGGGTTACAGAAAATTTAGAACAAGATCAGATAGGAGTGATAGACGAAAGGATGAGGAGTAGGGTAGTGGATAGATCAAGGCAACTGGAGATGTCGATTGACATTACATTTCAATAGCTGGAGATTATAGCTCTCAGGGAAACTAGAATAGGGAAGGGAGTTCTACAGGCGAGAGGTGCGAGACATGAAGCTATTGGAGTAGAAGAGACGGCTACATTTAGGAGTTTCGACAGTGAAGGGGTGAGAACGGAATGCCAGCCTCGTAGGGCGCTTGAACTCATGAAGTCTGGGAACCAGCGAATGCAGCTCCTCGGAGCAATTGCCATGAAAGTATTTGTAAAACAGACAGAGAGAGGCGACGGCGCGTCTGTGCGAAAGTGTCTGTAGACGAGATGCCAGATCGGGGCCAGTTATATTGCATATCCGCCTCTGGAGCCTATCAAGAACCCCGCGGCAAGCAGGAGGGGCTCCAGACCATATATGGCAGCAATACTCCATGCAAGGGCGAATTGTTGATTTGTAGATCTCCTATTAATTCCCCTCTCCAAGTTCTCCACTGCCTTAACCGGATATTGAACTCACACTCTTTGGGTCCTGTCACTGGATCTAACTAACGCCTTTATCCACTGTGGAAAGTGTCCTTAAACAGTCTACCCCAGTGAGCGAAATAAAGGGTTCAGTTCGGCATTCCAACCACCTGCAGAAGACCGGAGCGTACAACGGCCGAAACGTTGTAATAAATATGGCGACAAAGATAAGGACAATAGTCCGAATAATGTAAATAGTGTACATAATACCTCATCTCAGAAATATAGACAGATCATTCAGGTGGTCATCACCAAATCTTGTTCCTAAACGACTTTTAGTAGAGTTCATTTTCGAAAGAAGTTGTTCCCAAGCATATGTACTTCCAAATAATGATACCATTATTTTCGCATTATTCCATAGGGTTTTATATTTTTTGCTTGTCAAAAACTATTCCTTGTAGAAGTCTGCGGTGGATTCGGAATTAAATTTTGATTTTAAAAAATTCCTCGCATTGTAAGTCAATTAACACCAACTGATATTTTTCTGCCAGCTTCTCAACGAATTAATTAGATAATTAGTGTCCAGTTGTTAAGTTGGCAGGCCGGACAAAAATTCTTTGCAGGCCGGGTTTTGCCGACCCCTGGCGTAGATGACTTCGTAATATTAGATGTTGTCTACACATTCAACTTGTTGTTCTTCAAGAAGAATGACAAATTCACTTCTGCGCAGTGTGATCGTGATGCCGCACTTTTTATTAAAAAAAAAAAGAAAAAAAGTACACTATTTACATTATTCGGACTATTGTCCTCATCTTTGTCGCCATATTTATAACAAAATTTCGGCCTTTCAGTATCTGTCTATATTTCTGAGATGAGGTATTATGTACACTATTTACATTATTCGGACTATGGTACTCATCTTTGTCGCCATATTTATTACAACGTTTCGGCCTTTCAGTATCTGTCTATATTTCTGAGATGAGGTATTATGTACACTATTTACATTATTCGGACTATTGTCCTAATCTTTGCCGCCATATTTGTTACAACGGTTCGGCCTTTCTGTATCTGTCTATATTTCTGAGATGAGGTTACACTATTTACATTATTCGGATTATTGTCCTCATCTTTGTCGCTATATTTATTACAACGTTTCGCTGAAAATGCCCTCAAAGCATTGTTGATTTATTCAAGATAGAATATCTATTATGACAGGTCTCTAATTTGTATTTAGATACATTTGTATTTATTTTCAATTTGTCTAGTTGAATTTTTCACCTATATTGCATATGATCCATTATTGTACATAATTAAGTTACAATAAATGTTGGTATTTTTATATGAATACTACATTATTAAAAATGAGATGTAGAGATCAAATAATCTAACTAGGACTCTCTCTCTCTCTCTCTCTCTCTCTCTCACTCTCACACACACACACACACTCTCTCTCTCATATCGATCTCTCCTTACTCCCATATACTTTCCGTTTAAAATAAATGTTTCATGGTAATTCTTTTCACATTAAGCAACTCAAGTTTAAGTTACGTTTAGTCTGCGGGTGAAGGAAGATTATGTTGCATCCACTGCATTCAAAATCCTAGATCGGACACCAATGGTGACAAGATTGACTGTTTTCACTGCCGTGGCTCATTCTGTAATGATGCTATAAAAACTAAAAGCAAAACCTCGTTGGATAGATCCTCTGAAAACCTGACCTGAGATCAAACCTTACATTCTAAGCTGATAATTAATAGAATAAGCTCTAATTTTATACTTCATAATCCATTTTTTTTTCTTTCTTTCTCTCTTCGTTTAATAAAAAATTGTTTTAATTTTTGGCGTGTCATTTTGCTTTTTGATCAACAATACGTAATGCCAAGATATTGTCACGTAACACTCATTATTTCACTGAACAAAAAAAAAAATCATAAAAAATTAGCACGGTGCCCACGACGAATAAACGACAATCTACATTACAAGGTCGTAAGCAATATAAGCAATTGTACTTTGTTTTTTATTCCTCTAAGTTTGTGAAATAAACGGAGATTTTCCGAACGCTCTTTAATTTACTGCCATAATAATAATAATAAAATAAAACAGTAGGGTAAAAAAAAATGAAATAAAAAGGTAAACTTATTACAAGTAAATTACCTTTTTATTCCAACAGAACCGTTAACAACTTAAAACTAAAAAAAAAAAAAAAAAAAAAAACGAAAAGGAAAAGCTTACCACCCCCATTTGCATTTGGACTCGTCTTGCTCGCGCCTATGTCTATTGCGTTCGAGTTGAAAGTTACTTCACTTTATCTACGATGGCTTGGCAATCAGAGGTAAGGGAAAACCCATTCTTTTTATGTAAATATATAGTGTATCTATTTTGACCGTTTATATTATTTTATTTAACTGATGCAATCGACTTTCGGGGCACGGCACTTGGTAGCCAATAAAAGTAATGATATTGAACACACCCACTCCGATCTGTGAAATGGCGCTCACATGCTTTCAATTCTTGACGATTTACGTTCGGTTTTAACATTTTTTCATGAACGTTGGAATCCTATCCACGCTTTTATTTTAATTTGTATTTATTTATTTTATCACTGTACGAAAAATACTATCTAAAGGTTGTGAATTTTTAAGCCTTTTTTTTTTCTCGTTAATTTTTCTCTTGGGTTGTGGGGAATAGATAACATCAACAGACACGATAGCCTTTTTTGTACGTATGTTTTAATTTTTTTGGCTCATTCTCTTATCAGCAAAACAAAAGTTTCAGCTGTCGATTTCTCATAAAAATTCTATATTTGCTTAAAACTGTGTATTGAGTGACACATCATTGTTTTACTTTTTTGTTGGAAGGCTTTTCTGAGCTCTCTCTCTCCCTTTTTTTTTCTCTCTCTCTCTTAAAAATCTCTCTTGTCATTCCGAAATTTATTTCTAGTCTTATCAGAACTTTTTATTTTATTTTTTTTAATTTTATTTTTTTTTTCTTTTTTTTTATAATGTTGACATTAAACTTCTAGCAATCTTCGATTATTTTTATTTATTTTTTTAAAAGCCTTGATTTTTTTTTTTTTTCTTATTTTTTAAAAATATTAAACTTGTTGCAAATAAACGAAATGTTTCCTTATCCATAGTTATTTTCAGTTGAAATCTTGACTTCTTTTTTTTTCTCGTATGTATTTTTACTTGTATTCGTTTTCATAACCTTTCGTTCGAAAATGTCCTTTTGTAAAACGGTGACGAAGAGTAAATGTACCCGTTTATTATTTTGTCCCAAACTTCGGTTCCCTGATTAGTTTTTTTGTGTCTATTTTCAAAAACGAAGTTATTTGGCTCTTTCTAGTCACAGTGTTTTTGTTTTTTTTTGTTTTTTATTTTATTCTATTAAAAACATTTCTGCAATTTAAACGTTATTATTATTCTTGTTCACGTATTTTCTATTTGGGTGTTGACCTTTTTTTTAACATTTATTGAAACTACTACTACAAAATGTCATTCATTTTCTTTTCGTTGAAAAATGCTACTCTTTAAAAAAAAAAAACCCAAAAACTTTTATACTTTCATATTACCAATGTGTGTATTTTTTCCCTTCATAGCAATTATCAGATCGCTATTCTACGATCGTCAAATAAGTAGTGTCGATCAGATGTGTAGTATTTTTAGTATTTCTTAATCGTTAGTAAGCTATCTTTCCTCGTAAAAGCACCGTTTCCGGTTTAAAGGATGGCAGTTCAATTCTCACCAGAGCCTTCGTTTTCCAGCCACACTAAACTGTAATGCCGACCTGAGAGATGTGAGAAAATAAAAATTAGTCTGAAAAAGAAATATACAAAGTTTCGCTATTGCCTCTTAATTATTTCTATTCTTTGTTTTGTCCCCATGTTTTTGTTTTTTTTTTGTTTTTATTTTAAGTACCATTCCGTCCTTGTGTTTAGTTTAGTGACTCCCGATAAAAAACCTAATGAAAAATACAAAATATATAAAAAACAAGTTACTAGAGAAACGCAAAAGCAGCAGGTTATAAATAATTACAACCTTCGCAATTTATGGAAACTATCACATCGGGGTCATCAATATTCGATAAATAAAAATCATCATCATCATAATATCTACAACACTAAACCCACACATCAACATCTTTTTCATTTCCATCACTTCCTCTCTCATTATACCTTTCTTTTGATTTCTTCACCCACTCCACCTTCATCCTCACTTTTCGCGTCTTCCAATTCATTCCCTTTTCTTTTTCTTTTTTTAGTTTACTCGGTTATATATATATATTTTAATAATAATTTTCATGACACTTCTAATCAACATGACAAAAGTTGTCACCTAGTTCGTTCATTCATCATAGCTACTTGCCTTTTTAGTTTTTAGACTTCTTTTTTAATCTGTTAGTTACCCTGTCAAGTATACGTGGGGGTCATGTACAGGAGTTTCTGTCAACCTCCCGCCCACAACAAGACTATATAAATATTTGTGGAGATTTTATTTTCTTTGTCAATATTCTTAATCTTATTCTTTACCAATTTTAAACTTTGTCATTTTTTTTCTTTCTCCTAATCAGAGCCGATTAGTTGTCTTAAAAATAGCTGCTTTCTCCCCAAAATAATTCACATCGATCGATCATTGAAAAAAATGTTGTAGTGGTTTAGCGAGAAGAAACTCGATTGCTTTGGTGGGGAGCTATATTCTTGCAGGCTTATTCTTAAAATCGTTTATTTTCACTGTTGTTAAAATTACAGTAATCGTTTATCCCCTTTCTGGCTTTACTGTTTAAGTTACAATACATGCTCACATAAGCTAATATTTATTTTCATTTCATTTATTGATTTCACTAGGTCGTATTAATTACAAAATATTAAAAAGTAAACGGATCCGAAATGGATCGGTTTTTTTTTCTTCTTCGGTATCTCCAAAGAAAAGCGATACCCAAGGTTTGAAAAAATTCATTTCTGAAAATGAAATCATTGACGATTTAATTTTAGTTCTAATTTCAAGCTAATAGATTAAATTTAAATTTAATAGTTCCAATAATAAGCAGAACACTTTGCTGTATTTCAAACGATTCAAAAGAAATTGATCGGAATGTTTTTAAGTTGCTAATCTGTCATATTGACAAATCTGTCAGCACAGCATAATTCTCTGTATTAAAAAAAATCTTAAAAAAATAACTTTTCATAATTTTTTTTTTTTTTTTTTTTAAGATTAACTGATTTAAAGTTTAATTAAATGTGAATTAAAACTAATATTACTTTTAGTTTAAAATATCGCAGAAAAGCAATTTTATTTTTACACGGAGGTGTGTGTTTTTATGGGGTGTTGACACATTTACTGATGACCTGATATTTGGCATTTTTAGTAAAGGACACATAACTATAAAAATTACTTGAATACAATGTAAAGTAAACCCTTTTTCATATATATATATATATATATATATATAATATATATATTACTCAGTAATCTTTAAAAATTGGGAAAATATTCTAAATAATGTAATATTTTAATTGAATTTTAGGTACTTTGGCTTCATAGTTTTACGCTTGTTGAAGAAATATTACAAAATCACCAATAAATTTTAAATCTACTGTAGTTACAGCGTTAATTTTTGATAATGTCGTGTATGGATGTCCATATTTACAAAAATTGGCACGTTTATACACAAAGAAAAATTCAAAATTCTTTTTAATAAATTACAGTAATTTTCTTCATTTGCGATTAGTAAATATAGTTTGTTTTTTTTTTTGTTTTTTTTTTTTTTTTTTAACAACAATATCACCTAACTGCTACAAATTAATGCAGAATTTTAAGAGATTTAAAACTATAACTTATTAATTAAAAAAAAATGAAAAACAATTCTTGCAAAAATTCCTTTTTCATTGAAAAAGATTTGTTTTTTCTTAAGACAATAATGTCCATACATAAAATGCAATTAAGTCTTTCTAAATAGATAATGTTTTTGTTTTATAAAATTTATTGCATTTTTTTATTTTTATGATTCAGAGCAGATTTTCTGAAACTAGAAGTCGTGTTTGACAAAAAAAAAAAAAAATTAGAAATTCTCCTAAGACTTGTCCTTATAATTAATATAACACTAAGCTCTTCAAAAATGAATTTTTCAGAATTTCATAAAATTAAAAGTGGAGAATAACAGGTGTAAAATCATTTTTTCAAGATGATTTTTTTTAAGAATAAGAAGCTCATTTATAAGTCTTGGAAGTTTCATTAAAAACCATTATATGATTTTTGCAAGAATTTCAAAATGAATGTGTTTTTCACCGCAAAATACACTAAAATTTGCCACACTAATTTAGGGACACCCGTTGACGCAAGTAACACAATTTTATATTTCGGTGGTTCTAAAACATGGTTAAAAAATATATATATATATAATTTAATAATCCAAAATCTTTGCCCTTTCCTCCTAATAATAGTATGAAGATTTAGACTTATAAAACTTTTTAATAAGTTTGTTTGTTTTTTTTTGTTTTTTGTGATACGTCAGCGTGACAGTGGTGGCGGGAACTGGGCATTTTTTTTGTCTCTGGTCCATATGGATGCGTCGGGCCAGCTCAAATTTTTAAAATAATTAAAACAAAAAAAAATTGACATTTTTAGTAAAGGACACAACTATAAAAATTACTTGAATACAATCACCTTCGAAAATCAAATCAATAACTTTCTGTATTCAATATTATTAAGATTGTAAAATTTGAGTCGTGGTTTGACAAGTAATTTAGCATCTGGAATAACTAGTGCTTTTTAGCTTTTTAAAACTTGTCAATTATTTTTTACATTTCAATTTTTGCCATTGAACTACTATGGATTTTGAAATCGATTTCCTGTTAACGAAAATAGAAATCACAAACATCTAAATTCGGCTCAGTTTGTTTATCTTTTTTTCTTTTTTTTTTTTTTTTTGCATATGTGTAGAGCACTTGATGACCTTGGGGAAAAAAAAGACGTGAACCCATTCCTTTTTGCATGACGTTTGTTTGCTAATTTTTTCTTGGCTTTGACGGTTGAGTGAACTATTCTCTCAAAAATTTCCTCCCCCCCTCCCCAGAGTAACAAAATCTGTTACATTTATTGCCAACCTCAACAAGAACCTGACAAATGAGTTTTATTAATTATTTCTATTTTTATTTGATTTGATTAAAAAAAATCGTAATTTAAAATTTTAAATTATGTCTTCGAGTAAAATAAATGTTTCAATAGAAATTTGAAATATAGTGATTTACTTTAGGTGTTGAGGTTTTAAAACCTATTTTGGTGTTTTTTTTTTTTTTTATTATTTAAAATCAGAATGTCTTAAATAATTAACATA